TTTGCAACTTTAGAAACACTATGGGTTCTCTTATGTAGTGTACTGCACTAAAGGATTAAAAAAACAGTGAGGGATTGTTAATAAACCTATTAATAATGCATTATGAGCAATAATGCCAGTGGTCACTACCTGTGGTGCTCAGAACATCACTCCACACATAAGAATATCTTAGAGCAAATGCTGTTAAAACAGTAAATTTGACTAAGGGTACATCCTACGATGGTGATTCGTTACCAGTTTCTTCAAAATATTTTCATTTTCTTAAAGAATCAAAATCTTATGAATACATGAATAAAAACCAACTTTTGGTTCTGGTGAAGACCCCTTTAAAGCTCTAACCTACCTCCCCATGTCTCTTATCAGAGTAATTTACGACCAGAGGAGGGAAACAAGACACTAAATTAAACAGAGGCTGTCTAAGAGATTAAAAACAGTGTTTACAATTGCTGTGCAGACTCCCACACCCTCCCTCTGCACAGTAATGAGAAGAAGGCATATTCCTGAAAAACAAAAGAAACTCCAGGCTCCATGGAAGAAGTCATTAAGACAAGGGACAATACAGTGAAGTTCCTGAACTGCAAGGGGTGCAGCACACCACCTTTGAGGGGTGCGTTATGGTCCTTCCTTCTCAACATTTTGGTTTGTTTTTTTAACTAGAAATGTGGTCACACACATAAACATCGGATTCTGGAGTCCAGAGTATGTAGAAAGAAAGAAAAAAATTCAATTCCTGCAATAAACAGCCCAGAGGAGGTACAGTTACTTAACTTACTTCAGCTACATTAGGAAAAACACTCTTTAAGCTCAAACTCTATGCATGAGTGTCTTTTTCATTGATCTCATAAATATGTAAAATGAACTTCTTTCTGTTTTTTTTTTAATTCAGATTCAATACTTTGAATATTGAGCTTGAGAAAACATCACCCAGAATATTTTTTTTCTGTGAAAAAAATCTCAATATACTTCACATAGATGACCACCCATGAATTTAGAAAGGTCAAAAAATTAAAAAAACTTTTCCCTGAGAAGCCCAGGCTTTTACATAAACTATTACTTGAAGGAGCATTTGTTGCTCTCATTTCTTGAAGCCTAGGTCACAGCAGCATCCGAGAGTGGGTCAGTATCTTTCCGTCTGGAAGCAAGAGTCTCAAGAGTGCCATAGAGAAGTGGGCCGGGGCCAGGCACTGACACATCCCCTTTGTTAGTGGAAACCAGCCCAGGCAGCAGACGGCCCTGTTACTGATAAAGTTCTTATTAGAAAACTTAAAGAATGTCTGACAGTAAACGGCTAAGAGATCAACCACCACCAGTTCAGACAATCCCTTTGCTTCTGACATCCTCTCCAGCAGTCAGGAGGGACTGCAGTTTTGATACAGTACAACAAATTACAAGGGCTGGTGAAGAAACCCCTCGCACAGTAAAAACAGGAAGATACTGAAAAGGAACAAAAATGATAGACTCTCACTCCTCAGAAGAGATTTATTTTCCTATCACAGCACAAATTTTAGGAGTTCCCGAACACTACGGTTATTAGATGACAGAGGGCAAAGAATGAATCTGACTTCCAACAACGTCCAGTTGTGTAAAGCATATACCATCCTAGAGGACCCTTCACACCCTTTGTTTAATGAATTCCAATTACTCCCCTCAGAACAGCAGATACAGATCTCCCAATTTCAAAACAAACAGGTTCAAGTTCTTATTTATACCTATGGCCATGTTTGTTTCTTATCTGCTGCTGTAAAAAAAAATTGCCCCCTGGGGATAATAAAGACTCTCTCTCTCAAAAGCAAAGTAAAGCTTTCAAAAAAAAATGGAGGGAGCAGAAAAACAAATATATGAGAAAATCAGTTACTTTACACATTTTACCAATTGTACTTCGTTTCTAAATTAAGAAATTAGCTCACTGAGGCAAATCTGTTGCAAGGATTTACTGAAGGTATGGATTTTGTAACTTTTAAGAAACACCAATACTTAGAAGTGTTATTTTTCCATATGCACATTCTGCATGAAAAAGATTGGAAGAATTAGCAATTAAATAATGGTTTCCAATAGCCTTTGTGAGACTCACAAAAGCTATATTCCTGACATTTTTTTTCTTTCATTCCCCATCATACATAAGCTTGCTTCCCAGCATGTTTTATGCTGATAAAGGCAGATGTACTGTGCCGCTGACAGCGACTATTCAGTACTTAGTGCATGCGCCTAAAATGCATGAGCTATCACATTCTGAGAGAAACTTCACAGTTGGCTGTCTCACGAAGTAAGTCAACGAATAAAATAGATGTTACCACTAGTGTGATGACCAAAAGGTTGTGAATTCTCAAAGTTCATAAGTTCAGTAACAAATCCAAAGTGTCCCTCTGCAAGATCCAGATTCCTGTACCTACATCCTACTGTAGTTTTACAAGCCTCCTGACAGACATTACAACTGTTTAAGGAAAATGTGGTTCAGAAGAGAAGTGGTGAATGGTAGCCCTGTGCAATGGCAGACAGAAATGGGGTAAAGCAAAAGAGTCTAAGTGACCTGTCTTCTGCAAATGTTAGTGGACCACAGATCTGGTAAAGGGCAAAAGTGAACTTTGCCCTGCTTTGTACTTTAAGTGGAGGACAATGAATGACTTCTTTCATTTAATGTCCACATGGCTCAATGCCACCTGGTGTCTTGGGAGACCTCCTTCCTGGAGCCAGCACAGGTATCTTTGCTGTGGGGAACAGGGCATGGTTTCAAAAGGACAATTCTCCACAGCTCGCCACACTCACCTGTTTTGAAT